CTACTACTACTACTACTACTACTACTACTACTACTACTACTACTACCTTCGTTCCCCTATCTCCTCCTCTTCCTCCTCCTTCTCCTCCTCCACTTTCCTGCTCCTACTCCATCGTCCGTTTCTTCTAAGCCACCCAGCCGAGGGCTTCGCCCCTCGCCCCCCGACCGCGGGGCTCGCCGCCGCGCCGGGCGCAGGCGGCCATCTGCCTCGGGGCCCCCTCTCTGTCTTGCGGAAACGCCGGGGGAGGGGGGGTCCTCCAGGAGGAGGGGGAGGAGGGAATCATCAACACAAGAAGAATACGAACAAGAAGAATAATGATAACAACTACTCGACAAGGATATCCCAATATGTGCATCTCATACTCCTGTCACGCTTCGCTGAGGAACTCTGTCTATAAGCAAGTGGGTGTGACAGCGAATCCGCGTAGACGACAGGCGCGGCAATGACGACGACATCGGCGGCTTTAGTGACCTCCTCCTCTTCCTCCTCCTCCTCTTCCTCCTCCTCTCGACATTTTTCAAGAAGAACGAGGGCAACACAAGTGGAAGAGCGAGGGGGGTTCTTCTTATAGTTCTCACCGCGGCGACTCAGGCAAACGCGCATGGCGTTGCTACGCTAGATTTCTGGCGTGCTACTCGCGGCGCCTGCTGGCATTTGGGATGCCTACATGCCACGCTGGCTATATCGCGGTAGCGATGTGTGTGTGTGAGAACCGTAGTGCGAGTGAATATGAGCATGGGTGCTCTGAGTGTGAGCGACTCAGAGGGTGAGTGAATCTGGGTATGATTGGGCCTGTGTGTGAGTGAGTTTGGATATAACCACTGGGTGTGAGTGGTTCTGAGTATGGGTGAGTATGAGTTCGAGCGAATCTAAGCGCGAGTGGGTCTGAGTGTGAGTCAGTCTGAGTGTGGGTGCCTCTGGGTTTGGGTGTACTGAAGACAAATCTGAATGTGAGTGAGCCTGGATGTGACGAGGTAGTCTGAGCATGAGCGAGTCTGAGGGCTGGCGGATCTGAGCGTGAGTGGGTCTGGGTGTGAGCTGGTTTGGGTGTGAGTGAGTCTGGAATTGAGCGAGTCTGAGTATGAGCGGGCAAATATGCGCGAACCTGAATATGTGCGAACCTGAACCTGAATAATGAGTAAGTCTGAGGGGGGGGAAATGCTGAGGAGTAATCCCGCGTGCGAATGAGTGCGTCCGAATGGGGAAAAGGGGGAGGAAGTGAATGAGTGGGTGACTGGGTTGGGGGCATACGAATCCAGCGAAAAGTCTGGGGGGGAACAGCAACAAGAAAACCGCCTGAGACATCCACCCAATCTGAGCGCGAATCCTGAAGTGTTCCCACCACTGGCGGCTCCGCCTTGGGGTGCCCAAAATGCCTCGCTGCTAGCCATATCGCGGTGAGCATCGGACCACAAACAAAAAGAGATCCGAAAGACAGAAACAGGCAAACCGCCAGAGACAACCTCACATTGTGGACGCGAACCCTGGAATGTCCCCACCCCTGGCGGCTCCATCCTTGGGGTGCCCAAATGCCACGCCTGCTGTATCGCTGTCACCAGAAAACATCTAGGGGACAGGAACAGGCAAACCGCCTGAGACAGTCGTGCATTCTGCTCTGGAAGACGAGGATGTTGAGCATGCAAACGAGCAAACCGCCTGGGACATTTCCACAGTGTGGGCGCGAACGGGCCCGTGCAATACCCCATGGCGGCTCCCCCTTGAAATGCTGTAGCCAGCACCTCGCCTAAGACATCCTCACAGCTTGTGTGCGTGAATGATTATGAGCATGCGTGAGTCGATGCGTGACTGGGCTCGCGTGAAGGGAAGAGCGAGTCTGAGCATGAGCGAGTCTGAGGGAGGAAGAGCTGTGACTCAGTATGAGTACGAGTGGGTCTGAGTATGAGTGAGTATTAGCGTGGGTCGGCCTGAGTATAAGTGAGTCTGAACATGAGTGTCTGGCTGTGATAAATGAGGCAGAGGAGGAAAGGGAAGTGGCAGGAAGTGAGATGAGAGTGCGGGCTTTCGGAATCGCCTGAGCAATAACAATAACCCCATCTTAGGATATGGAAGCAATACTATTCGCCGGCCCGACGGGCCAGAGGCGTGTGAAGATCTCCAGTAACAGGTAAACCGTATTTCTGTATAGTTCGCGCGCGCGGGCGGCCCATGGGGTCCGCGGGTGAAAAATATCCTGGGCAGGTCCGCGACAAGGTCCCGCTAGAAATGGCTTTGCTCCTGGGTGCTGCCGTCGGTGCCTCCCAGAGAGCCCCAAGAAGAGCCCAGAGACCCCCAAGAAGCCATTGGGATGGTCCAAGAGAACCCCGAGACGCCACAAGATCGCACCTAGACGCCCAAGATAACCCCTGACGGCCCACGAAACCTCCAAGACGCCCCAAGACGCCTCCAAGAGGCCTCCCGAAACAGTGCTCAGAAGCAGAAGTCATTGATTCCCCATTATTGTTTTGTTATGCAGATTTTCGGGTCTTCGCCTTGTTTCAGCTTCCCGACGCTCACACGCGGCCCAAGAGGCCTCCAAGACCGCTCCAAGACGGCCCAAGGATCTCCAAGAGGGCCCCCGAACAGCCCAAGAGAGCGAAGACGGTCCAAGAGGCCCCCAAGATGGCTCCAAGAGAGGGTCCAGACGGGGGACCCAAGCGGTAATTTTAAGCTCTTCGTCCGAAAAGGCCCCCAAGAGGCCCCCGTGAGGCCCCAGGAGGTCCCCAAAATACTGCCAAGAGGCCCCCGAAAGGCCCCCCAAAAGCCCGCAAAAAACCTACCAAAGAAGCTTCTTGTCCACGAAAGTACCCCCAAGAGGCCATCGAGAGGCACCAACATCGACAACGAACACACGGGGAACCGAGTCGTCAACAAGATGGGCCGGCGGAGGGAGCGAATCGATGAAATCACACTGATACAAGGCGACAAGGCTGTTAATAACAATGACATTATACAACAATAGAAAAGGGAGGTGGCGAGGAGCGATGAATGGAGGGGGGTGGAAAGGGGAGGGCAGGGAAGGAGGAGACGGAGGAGGATTCGATAAGAAGAGGAAGGAGGAGGAGGAGGAGGAGGAGGAGGAGGAGGAGGAGGAGGAGGAAAAGGAGGAGCGCACGTAGCATGGGGGCAACGTGCGCTTCGGATTAAGCGGGCGTCGATGGCAAGCTTCGCTGCTCTCAAGAGCCTCAGGTGGGCTTCGAGGTCGCAGCAACGGGAGGGCGAGGCCTCGTGCTCTGCCTTGAGCTTGTGGCAGCAGTGAAAACCTAAGACAACTAGGCGATGAGTGGTCTCTCGGGTGACTTGATAATCATAATCAGAATCGAGGCCGAGACCGACACGGGCCAGAGGGCAGGAGGGGAGGAAGAGCCCCGGACGGGCGAGAAGGTGGAGGAGACGTGGGCAGACCAAGTAGTGAGGCCACCGATCGAAACCATCCTCGCACCCCAATCGGCAGCGGCGCTGGCCCAGAACGGGCATTCCGCCTGAGGTGACCCATCCCCCTCTGCGAGAATCTTAATGTGGGCCCAAGCCCAGCTGGGCTTGGACTGGGAGAGCACACCACAAAGCCTAACGATGGGCCATCTGCCCCGGAGAGGGAAGAGGCACCTGAGAGAGCCAGGTCCTCGACCTTCGAAGGAAGAGAAGGGGGAGGTCGTCGGGGAAGATGAAGTGAGTGAGGGCCTGGGCGAACGCACGCTGGGGCCTCGGGCGGCGGGAGGCGACCGCAGCGGCGGCGAATTCCCCTGTGTCAGCAGATACGGTTTCGCGTAGCTGGTCAAACGAAGCGAACAGCGCGGCACGCGGTCCAGGACCGAAACGAAGAAGTGTGCGATACTCTGTTGCCGCTGCCTAAACGGAGGGCTCCGTTCCTGGCGAAGGTATCCTACCAGGGGCCCTTTCCATGCTGCAAATTCCCCGAGGTCAGAAGAGATTAGCCGAACCATGGAACCATATGGGTGGGCCGCAAACCTCCACGCCGAAACACACGCAAGAACACTCAAAGACAGCAGCTCGCTCCGTTTAAATGTGTTCGGAGGCAGCCTAAGTAGCTTATGAACAAAACAGGGCTCTTAGGAGAGAAGGGAAGAGGGGAGGAGAAAGAACTGACAGAGGCACGAGAGAACAGATCGAATGGAGGAGTTGCACGTGCGGCAAAAGGCCTCCGACGGTGATCGGGTTGCTGCAACAAGGCGAGTACGAAAGCCTAGCTTTAACGCTGCCGCCTCCCACTTGGCCTCGAAGGTTGCCGCTGGACCAAACAAGATGCCGAGGTAATTGGCGAGGCCAGCAATGGAGAAGGAGGAGAAGAGGGGGGCGATGACCGAGAGGATGGAAGAGATAACAGAGACAACGGCGGCACAGCATGCGGTACACAACGGGACAACCACGCATTTTCTGGGTTGCAAAGGAGTGGCAAGCAAGGCGGAGCGCCGCCAAGAACACTGGCTCAAGCTGGGCAACCTGACTCAGACGAGGTAGAACAACACCAACATCATCGGCACCCGCCCCAACGTCCAGGTGATCGCTCAAAAGTTCGCTAGCGTCGACGCCCTCGGAGATATGGAACAGAACAGCGTCGAAACACAACGCCCACAAAGTTCCAGACAGCGGGCCCCCCTGAGCAACGCTAGCGGAAAAACCTGGAATACATGCAGAAGTTCGTCTCCAAACCAAGCACTGACCTGCAGATCGTGGTGCGGAGCCCCGATCGCACACGTGTAGCCAGCTGGCAAAGAGTGGTGAAGCAAGACTGCTGTAATCCACTGCCAGGAGGAGGAGGAGGAGAAGGAGGAGGAGGAGGAGGAGGAGGAACGGACGTCACTGGAATGTCTCTCCCTCCCGCCTGGGCCGCGCCTCGGGCTGAGCCGCTCAGCTCGGTGTTGAAATTGTCGAGGGTGGAGCCGTTGGGGCGTGAAGAGCCACCCGCGCGGGCGGGCAGCACGGCGCGAGACCGTGCCGACGGCGTCGTAGTAGAGCCGCCAGCGCGGACGAGCAGTGCGGCACTAGACCGCTCCGATAGCGTCGTAATGGGGGGTGGAAGATGGCGACGCGGACGGGCAGCCGGGACGCAAGGCGCCAGCCACCCTCTGCTGCGTGACCTCTGCGACCAGGGAGGATGGCAGGATAACATCACAACGCTCGGCAGTGAGGCGGAGGTCCCGCTCGATGTCGACAACTAGCTGCAGGAAAGACGGCGAGGTCGGCGACAACTCAGCACAAGTACGATGGCACACTCCCTCTGAGAAGAGCCTCTCTTCGAAGATTGCGGCGGCGTTGTGCCAGAAATGCGACTGAAAGTACACGAGGGCTTGTAGCATGATTTGCCAGCGATCGTACGGAGAGAGGCTGGACATCACTTTCTTATGACATTCCGCGACATTGTCGGCCTTGATTTGCTAACTGGTGGTGTCGCTGAAATTGGTGTACGCCTCAGTCAGAGCAGGAACGGGCATGGTGACTTCAGAGTTCGTCTCGTGAGCCAGCCCCGACGGCGACACAGAGGTACGAGAACGTGAAAGCCGCGCAAGGGGTGCCAGGCAACGCCGATACAGTAGTACTAGTGGCCGTCCCCGAAAGCGAGGCAGTAGGAGGTGCTAGACTCGAGGCACGTGGTGTAGGCGTCCAGGGGGCACCACGCACTCACCGAGCGCGTGCGCCGCCGAGACGAACGTAGGTAACGGTGGCCAGCCACATGCCCAGGACGAGCGCCCAAAGCACGCGCAGCGACACCAGGGGCGTCCCTGGCAGCAGCAGCATAACCTCCGGCATCAGGAGCACGAGGAGCATGAGCACAAACCTCAGGATCTTGATTGACGTCGGCATGAGGTGCGGCGGCACTTCCAGCAGGCAGAGCGCCAGTGGTGCAACTCACGTCAACCGTGGACTGAACAATGACGGGAGGAACTGGGGGAGCTACATCACCCCCAGGGGGGTCCGCTCGGTAGCCGTGCGGATCCACCCTCGGGCCACGATGAGCCCCGCCTGCACCTCCAGACACTGCGGCAATACCGCCACGCAAACCGAACGCACCAGCAGCGCGAGCGGGAGGAGCAGCACCAGGGACGAGATCAGGGCCAATCGCCACACACGGAACGTCACCAGGAGGGGCACCAGCATGCGATCGGCGTATCCAGACTATGCATTTGCAGGCTGAGCTGCAGCAGCAGGCGCAATAACCCTTCCACCTGCCTAAAGCTCCCCGAAGATGCAACATTCCGTCTCGATGTCAAGATTATGCGAGAACGTATCAGTATCGGCCACACCAGGTGGCGGAGGAGGAACAGTACAGAGCGCCAGGACCATCAGCGCGAACAGGGAGACCATGCTCGACCACACATGGCGGCGAAAAAAACAGGACAATGGAGTCGAAAGCCGTTGCCTGTGAAGCTCGGCAATGAAATCCGACACTGGCTGGAGGTCGGAGCCGTCGCATACTGTAATCGGCTTGACTACGGGCGGACTGCTGGTTGTTTAAATTCGGGATGTAGTCAGCAAGATGCTTAATGACCAAGGCGAGCGACCCCATCATGGCGAAAGAGACAATTTGATATGCCCACAGGGGCCTGGCGGCGAGAGCACGTCAGCCAGCCGCAAACGACGAACAGGAGCAGGGGTGGCATCAGGAGGACCCACGCTCAGCGGGATGCGATGCTTCGCTTTGCCGCAGTTCGTGTTTTCGCGGCGGTACTCTTTGTTGAGCTGCTCCTCGGCGAGGATCGCCATTCGCAGCGACCGCGAATGCTGGCCTGAGAGCTGATGCAGTTCATGAGACCCCGAAGAACTCGGCGAGCATTCCGCGCATCTGGCTGCGGGACAGCGACATGGCGAGCACCATGAGGAACGGGTTGACGAAAGCAACGCGCAAGAGCACGCCCGCGACGGGCAGCGAGTTGTGCCACACTGCGACGATGCACCATCCAACTAGTCACGCTGCAGCGGCAGACATCGCAACCATAGAACATGCAGGGGGCGTGCAGCAGCGCGTGCGGGGCTGCTTCCTTCCATGTGTCCCTGAGCTAACATGGTTCGACGCCTCGCCCCCTGAGCCGGTCCCCACGTGTCGGGGCTCCCCGTCCGAATGGCTTGGGGGATATAACTCGGGCCTCCGGCGGCCTTTTGGGACGATCCTGCCATCCCCCGAACGCTCTCAGCGAGACGCGGCCGCTGGAAGGCATCCCGAGGCTGAAAAGCCGACGGGAGCCCACGAAAGCGCCGGAAACCCCTGGGCCTGTGGTCGGGAACTCCTGCTCGGCGTGTCGCGGCAGCGGATCGCGTGTCGCACACGCAGAAGGGAAGGGAGAGGCCACTCCACCTCCCTGTGGTCTTGCTGGAACAGCGACACGCCGTGTCGTGCGAGCGGGTAGCGTGTCGCTCCACTTCGCAGGGCGGGGGGCTCGGGAACGGCTCGGGACTTCTTCGTTCGGGGGCCAGGTTTTTTTTTTGGACGGCGATCATCGGTGACTACGGCCCCGTGGCATACGACCGTGAGGGAGAAGGGGGAGAGGGAGAGGCAAATACGGGAATACCCAGACGAATGATATCCCGGGGGCCAGGATGGGTGATCAGCGTGTTGCGCCGAAGTGTGGTGGGCCAGGGCCAGCGGAGCGACACGCCAAGGCCAAACTCCTGACCGCAATCGAAAGATCTACGGTGAAGGCATTGGATAAGGAACCGTTGGAGAAAGACTGCAGGGCCTGGAAGCCCGTGGAACTCCAATGGTTGATTGGCCATGGGTGTCAACGCCGCGCTCACTAGATAAAGCATCCTCCAGGGTCTGAAGCCACCTGGGCGCATTCCTTGTCCCCAGCGTGGTGGGCAAGAACCAGCGGAGCGACACGCTAAGCCGAAATTACAGATCGTGCTCGAAAATTATGTTGTTCTACCCTACTTTCTTGTTTGACCCTCCGTGCCGCCGCACCTGCTCTGCACAGTCTGCGGTGCCGACGTAGGCCGTGGCCGACGACGGCGCTGCCGACGACGACGAGAAAGGCTGGACGACGACGACATGTGAGCGACGATCAAAAACGGGTCTCTCGCGAGATGACATAGCGACCTTGCGCGGTTGCTTACGAGGGCCGCCTGCGCAGCACGTTACAAACGCTGAAAGCGAGGACGCTTACGCGCGACCTTACGCGGGCAACTTCCGCGCCAACGTCGGCGAAGATGACCCCTTTCTCTGCGTCGCTCATGTGCAGGTGTGGCGCCTGCGACGACGACCCCGACGAATGGATCGCGCGGGCAGGCGGCCGGGCGGGGCTTCTCAGAACCCCCCTTGCCTTCTGAGAGGTCTTCCGTTCCTTCGAGGAGGCCCAGGAAACTTCTCGGAAGGCCCGAGGCCTCCCGAGTCTTCTGAGAAGGGCCGCTCCCTCTCGGACGCCTGGTCGTTTGAATGCCAAACTCGGCTCTCTGGTGGCCGTTCGCGGCGATCCCGGCACCGCCAGAACGCTCTCGGCGAGGCGCAGCTGCTGGAGCGCACCCCGAGGCTGGAAAACCGCCGAGAGCTGAAGACGACGCCCGAAACCTCGAACCTCGAACCCGAAATCCCCGAAGCTTCCCCCCTGGGCTCGCCGCCGCGCAACGCGCCCCCCCCCCGCCCCTCTCCTGCGGCGGGGCTCGCCGCGGCGGCGGCGGCGGCGAGGGCGCCCCTCGGCGTTCGCCCCTGGCGGAGGCGCGGAAGAGCTGTCGTCGTCGTCGTCGCCGTCGCCGACGTCGTTGACGTTGCTGTGGTGGTCGTCGTCCTTTCCGTCGGAGCCGCCGCCGTCGCCGTCCTCCTCCTCCTCCTCCTCCTCCCTCCCGTCCATCCTTCCTTCCTCCTGGTCGTTTCCCCCTAATCCTGCCTCCCCCCCTTCTCCTCCTCGCCCGTCTCCTCCTCCTCCACCTTCTCCTTTTTCTCCTCCTCCTCCTCCTACTTTTCCTCCTGGTCCCTCGCCCTTCCCTTTCATCCTCCCCCCCATTCCTCATCACCCTCTTCCTCCTCCATTCTTTGTCCTTATGAAAAACCCCCTCTGTCGCACAACCGGACTTATCCGTAAAGTAAGCCAGTTGTTTCGCTTGAGGCTTCTTTGCGGTAGAAGACCAGAGACTGCAAACATTGCAACAACTTCGCGGATGGAAGCCACATCGTTTTCACAATGGGGTTCCAGCTTTGGCGCCGCACACATTGGTCTTACAGACGTGCAAGTATTACACTGATGGAAGGCTGGTCGCTTTCGACATGTGGTTCTCGCTGTAGCGCCGCGCAGTCGCCCTTCAAATTATGTAGGCCGGCTCGTTTTCAAAATGGAGTTATCGCCTTGGCGCTGAGCACATTCGTCCTAACATTTTGCAACAATTACACGGATCGGTAACACGGATGAAAAGCCAATTGTTGTGGAAATGGGACTCTCGCCTAGGCGCCGTGGACATTCGACTCAAGAGGCCTGCAACCACTACAAGGATGCAGGCCGATTCGTTTAAGAATAGGGTTACCGCCGTAGCACCGCACGCATTTGTGCTGCAACCCGACTACAGTTACACATTATACTTCCTTGTATGATAACATGAAGCTTGAACATCCGCCCGCCCCTTTGGCAGCCACCAGGTTGCGATTATGAAGTTTCTGCATCCTGCAAGCAGTCTTCAGTTCCTCGGTTCCACGACCAATTCCACTGTTCTGCCTGTGTTCCAAACTCCCAGATGTTATGCATAATTTCTTTTCATTCCACTTCAGAAGGTCATAGAACGCGACCCCGCGGCCCGGAAGGAACCTGTTACCGACCCGGAGATGCACCTTCGGCATTTCTAGATGCCCTGGAAGAAGAAAACAGATTCGCGTCCCTGGGGCCACTATCCCGATTGAACTGCAGCAAGTGCACGGTCCCACGGCCACAACCCATTGTGAATTACGGCGCGTGAAGGTTCCTGGAGCCACACCCTTTGAAATTGCAGTATACAGACGCGCTTTCGACGCTAGAGCGCCCCCTAATTTGCAGCGTGTTCGCGCTCCTGGGGCCACAGTCCCGCG